TGCACTGCCAAGAGGGCACACTGTTAACATGTGTCGAGAAAATTGCACTGCCAGGAGGGCATTCTGCAGAAAAATCTGCACTCCGTGGACGATTCTCGAAAAAGCAAAACACACAAAAACATGTTTTCAGAAGGTTGTCCTTTGTGGGAGGGTTCAATCAAGACCCTCACAAATATGTTTCTTTTTGTGGCTGCTTCTTTTTTTTAAGCTTTTGGCTTTCTCAATTTTGCTTGGTGTTGTCCCATGGCGGCCCTTTGGAGAGCGGGCCGCAGTGGGGCCTTTAAAAACATTAGGTTGAATTTTCAAGCCCGCCCTCCATATCTGATATTGCAAATGTATATACATTACACCAAGTTAATGAAAACGCACATATCTGGGAAGTCTACTTTCCCACAGATCCAGAGGAACGCTTTTAAATTGACAGCTTCAATACAAAGTCTTTTATATACATAGAAGTTATCATTCACAGGGATCTAGAGGAAAGCGTTTCAAACATAAATTTTTATACAAAGTGTTTATTAAAAACTATGTTTGCAGAAACTGGTTTAAAGCATTTATCTAACAATTTTTTGACCTAGTTCCCAGCACTCCCACCCTGGGCAAGAAAACGCGGTAAAACACAGGATTTTGTAGCATGTTGTTCTTAAACTCACACCCCCAGTAGCACCCGCTCTTTAGAATTAAAATAGATTTGAACTAATCTAACTTCATGGTAAGGTAGTGTGTTTCTTCAAACACAGTTAAAAACTCAACCGAGGCCCTTCAACCAATCCTAGGAGATGCTGTCCATTCACCGTCCTGATTTGGTTTGGTCGGTTTGCTGACTCAGATAGGTCCAGGAACCCTGCACAAGCCAACCAGAGAGGACCTCTACGCCAAACAGGACCTCTACGGCTAGCGCAGCGGAAGGCCGAGATCTGTCAATGAGTACGGATCAGCACCAGATGTTTTGTCCCAAAGGTTAAAGCAGGATTGTGGGACTGTGGGACACAAGGATTTCTTCAAGTGAAAGGAGGGCCATGATGCATTTACAGTAGGTTGGGCCGCAGCGAACCCAAGAGGTAGTTTGGTGTCGGTTTAAGCCCCCATGTTTGGAACTCAGACTTGGAATGTGGCTTGGCTCACATATTCATGAGTCACACTTGGGGTAGTTCAGCCTCATGCACAACAAATACCACTTGCCCACAAGTGAGGTTTTGTGTTTTTGAAGAAGAACTGAAGATCGAATCTGTGAATAGCACCTTGTAGATCGTGCCGTGTCATGCATTATCACTAATGAGTTGGTGTAGGGACACGTTCCCTTGGCGACAAGTTACTAAAACACCCAAGCACAGCCAAACAGGTCAGCCAGGAAAAACCTGGTCCTTCAGCTGAGAGTACAGGCGTGTACGGCATGTGGGTGTGTGTTGACGGCTAACTTTGTATAGTGAATCCATGACGGCCTCCAACTTGCTTGCCTCAAGTTGCTTCACCAGTCCCTTTGAAGATCACAAAACATCTGGAGCACGGCTATGTCCTTTGAGATTTCAAGGAATGTGAACAGGGAGTGCAATTGAAACACTTTTGTCGAACAGAATGTATACAGGAGTATGTTGGCCTCTTTACAGGAGGCGAAAGAGTTTTCATTTGGTGGCCCGCGTGTGAACGCGAAGGAGGCCAAGCTATATGAGAGATTGGTTCCGGGGAAAGACGCATTGTGAACCAGATGCAGGAGGCTTTTCATGTCATGTCCCTTAAATGTTCCTGGCATGCAGCATGTGCCCAAGTAAAGACCCATACACTACTTCTTTCGATCTCATTGGGGAGCCACGAACGAGAAAGGCATGACTAAACATGGGGGTCACTTGGCGCCAAAGTGGTCGTTCAGTGGGCCTCGGATAAAATCACGAAAAAAACATATATTTTTCTTTGGAATGAGTATACAATATAATGATGTTTTGTCTCAGGTGAGAAAGAAGTTATCATTACCTGTTACCAGAAGCTACTAGGAGCAAAGGGCTTCTTTGACTAATGCGTTTCCCATCGCGTAGCATCGACCTGAGACCGCCGATCTGGGCGCAGAAGCTCCTGGCTCCCTCAGGTGGGAGACCGGGCAACCGGAGGGGCCTTCCGGAATATTCAGAGGTTTACTTTTCACAAGATATACAATCATCATAAAACCATATACATCCATACAAGTATCCATACACATCATATCATTACTCATATACCCTACCATTTCCTGATCATGTCGGGGTGTGACATGGATTTGGTGTGCAAGTCGAGGGAACAAGAGTTTCCGACCGAACAGGTGGGAAGCCAAGGTTGCAAGATTGTGCGCCGATTTAGATGTTGGTTGATATAACAGGTGGTGAAATAAGTACTTGCTGATTGCGCACTGGATGATGTGTATGGTGTAGAGCTTGCTTCAGCAAAACTTAGCAAAACCACATATTTTCCTCATTGTGAAGAGTGGAGAGGCGGTATCTTCTTCCAGTTTGGTAAAGCCGCACAAAAGTTTGTTCAAGCTCAAGCTCCTGCAGTTCGTTTGATTTTTCGAACAGAACCCCCCGACGGCTTGGCGTCGGTTGTTGGTTGCCCAACCTCACCCGAGTCACCAGCCCATTGTAGAGGCCTTCGTTCAGAGCTTCAATGCTGAAGGTGAAGAAGCCCGGAAGCTCAAAGTCCAAGCCAGCTCCAGGCGGAGTTGATGCTGACTCGAAGCCTGAAGAAAGACATTGACACAGAGGTTGCTTTTCCTTCAAGGGAACCCTGTCGAAGGTGTATAATTTCATTTTGTAAGCAACAATGTGATGCTGATCCTGGCCAAGCAATCGACTCTATTTTAAAGATTTTAAAGGTTGTTTAGATAGCTTAATATGGCTGTGTGGGTCAAGACCCGGAACTTGGTAGCTTGATCTCCTTAGTAGTCTATGCTGCTCCTTTCCGGTGGTCAACGCATGTCCCCGGTTTTGACCCACAAGCATAGGTCACTTCAGAGAGAGTTTTTGTCGGCATCGGACAGTGTGTCAGCCATTGTTCGTTCCATGTTTTAATGTGTTCCCAGTCCCCTCGTTCCCCCATCTTCCCAGATTTTCAGGTTGAAGGAGTCGAAGGAGTCGAAGATGAAGGCGCGCCTTCCGCGTACCTTGTGCATTGTACGTCCAAGCGTCAGGGCAACGTGGTAGAAAGACAACGGTAACAAGGGCATTACTACTAGTAACAAGAAGCTACTAGTAGGGATGCCCTTGTTCCTAGTAGCTTCTTGTTCCCAGTCACATCCAATTTGCGTCCGGGCTTCCAAGGCCCAAGAGCTGTGCGAGATTGAACACTGTGATGCATCAACACTATGGCTCAGAGAGGAATGTCCGAACCCGAACGGGATGTTTAGCAACAGTTTGTCGGCACATATAAATCCGGATGATGTTGACTGGATTGGATCTAGTAGAGAAATACACAATCCTTCCTTTTCCCATGCCAGCAGTTCAGCATCCGGCCGTTAGCTAAAGGGAGCATGCTGGTAAATTGCAGGTACAGAATGGCTAGTCGAATGGCTTTAATATGAGACATAAGGCCAAGGGGTCATTGATTTCCAAGGTGATATTCCTCTAGTGTCCTGCGCCGATTATCGATATTATCAATCTGGCTTGCGAACCATAGCCAGGTGCAGCTGACCATGTGCCAAAGCCAGAGAGTGATTGTGCAAAAAGAGACTATATCGGCAGGTCCACCTTTGTTGACTTAATGGGCAATGGTTTTGGCCATGCAGAGCGGGCTTTTGTGCAGAGTGCAACAAGTATATCATGTGGCCTTTGGGTGTGCAGCTCCCTACCTGGTGGGCAAAAGCAGATATAGTGTAAAGGCAGCTACTAGCAAGAATGCTACTAGGAGTAATGCCCTTTGTTACTAGTTACTAGTAGCGATGCCCTTGCTCCTAGTAGGTTCTCGTTACTAGTAGTAATGCCAGAAGCTAGTGGCTTCTTGTTTATGTAATTTGCACTTAGCCAGATAGCCACAACATTGCCAATCCATTTGTTCAATCTAATCTAGTCAAGATCCGTCAGCTGGACTAAACCAATTCTTGGTTGTCCTTGCAGGATGCCACAGTTCTGAGAAGCTGACTGTAGCTCATTGTCACTGACTCGTGTTGACCTGACGGGATGCCCGGGATGCCAGAGGCAATGTATGTTGATCAGGTCAGCCGAATGAGTGGAAGATTGACATGGAGTGAGCCCAACCCTATCACAGCTGACAAGACACATGAATCAGTCTCACCTAGACAGGTCCATCACCCTGCACATACAAATTGATGCCAGATGGCGTTTCCAACCAAAGATTCCAACCAAAGAGTCTACCACATCTGGTGTTTCCATACAAATTGATACCATACCCTGGTGGTAGACTCCTTTTTCAGTGCATGCGTACAGCTTCGCCCACCTCAGCACGTACGCTCCATGGCCGTATCGCAACAATGGCTTTGGGAAGCTCTCAGTGCCTTGGTTGGGAAGCACAAATTGAATCCGATTTGTTCGGTTCAAAGTGGAGATCATGGTCTAACATAATTAATCTAATCCTTTTGTTGAAAAACTACGGATGCCTTTCCCATGCGTTTCTGGATTTTTGAGGGGACTCCATGAACCTGTTCAAAAGCAACGGATGGTGCTCTGTGCATCAGAGCTTTTCTTGGACAGTAATGGTTGCTAGTGTTCATTCTGGAAAGATCATCCTGGAGGCACAAATTTTGGCACACACCACTACTGACAAGTGTGTCCCAGTGTGTGCAGATTTACAAGCTGCGCATGGCTCCACGTGGTCTTTCGTTTAGGGTGCCCTGCAACCGTCCCAGAGTCCCAGAGTCGCGGGACGTGTCCAGCGCGTCGCTCGTGGGACGTGTCACAGGAAGTGGCAAAGATGATGTGGTCATCTCTCGCCTCGTTCCCACGGATTGGGATTGGAACCAGGCGCTGAGAGATTTTTTGGAAGCGTTGCACGTCCGCGATTTGGACAGGTTTAAAGGGTATTCCATGTTTTTCTTGGCCAGATTCAGAACTTGCTGCGTCTACGGTCTACAAGGTTGGTAGCAGCAGCAACAACAGCAACAGTAGCAGCAACAGTAGCAGCGGCCACCACAGCAGCAGCGACACATACAAAGGCCACGGCAGCAGCACGATCCAATTTCGTCCTCGATGATTGGGATCTTTGGTGGAGAAAGCCCCTGTGCTTCATGGAAGAAGGGTTTGCATCTTCAGCCACTGAAATGACGAAGTTGGCTGTCCAGTGGTAGTAAGTAGGGAGTCGCCAAGTCCTAGCTTCGACCCGCCACAATCATACAGACCCAGGAACATGACCAGGTGGATAAGGCTTTGGCTTCGAAAGCAGGCAATTGAGTTTCAAAGTGTGCAAAGAACCTCTAAGAATGGGATCATTTGCCGTAGGTGGAATAACCTATCAGATGATGTAATGTTGCTTTGATGTTTTGTTTGCTTATGTTTGCAGACTCAGAGCACAGTGGAGGTTCATCCTTCTTTGGGAACACCACTGATGGCCATTGTCCCTGATGGCCTTCGCTTGAGTAGCAACAGCAGTAGGTGCGGCTGAGGGATGTTGTACGCCATGTTTTGGCGATTGTTTGGAGGAAAGTATGTTGGTTGACACGAGAATACCAACTATTTATAGCATTTTATAGCTATGTTTTTCGATTTTGGTTGCGTTGGAGTTTGACGGATCTACCAGAAAGTCCAAGAGCTTGTTAAGAGGAAGATGACGATGAAGACGCCGAGCTTCGATGAGCTTCGAACATTTGTTTGCTTAGCATTGTTGTGCGATACGGAAGTTTGCCCTATGGCATCACACGGGACATTGACAAGAGCATACTCAACCCACCCTTTGGTGATGAAGTATGCAGATCTGCTGGGAAGAGTGACCCCAAGCAGGGAATATGAGACTTCTGAAGGTTGGGTGCTGGAAGTACCATTTTTCCACGGACGAACACAATCGGATGGGCACAAACAAGAGAATGGGTGTCGCGTGGTTGGACACGTGGTTGGAGGGTCGGTTTTGTCCGGGCAGGACGGCAACCATTTGGAAGCTTATACGCTTCTGCATGGCGCAAGGCAAGGTGGTTCTATGGGTGTTCGGTGCACCATGGCAAGGCTGAAGTCAGCGATACCCGATACCCATGCCGAAATGCTATGAAATGCTTGCAGGCTCAATGAAAGGTGCAAACTGGGATGGATACCCTTGGAGTGTTTGAGGTCCATATCAACCTGCAAATGCCTGGCAGCGAGACTCGACGAAAGCTGTAGGCGCAGATCCTCGCAAAGTCGCCCACCACTTGGAGAACTCTCGCAGCACCTGGGGATCTGAAGGCGGGGAACCTCTGGATCTCGAGTATTAATATAGCACCACATAGCAGGTTGCTCCCGACTGGTTGATATTGGAATATTGTTTAGATGCAAAATAGGTATTTAGTTTCTTTGGGAACATGTTGTGCAAAAAAGGCATGACAGTCATGCAGTTTTTGATTTCCACTTCCACCTTTTGTTCCTCATCGGGCTTCGTCCTTGATGTAGTGCCTTGCAAGGCACCGCCTATCCCAAGTTGGATGCCGTTGACAGATCCGGGCATAGTGCCTTGTCCTTGGTCTTCGCCTTCCGGCGCGCCTGCTGCAAGTTCGAAAAGGACGGCGGGGCGGCGTAGCCGAAACAGCCAGGGAGGTTTGCAGTGAACTTCGATTGTGAATTGTGTTACAGTTAAAGTTGTGAACATGCACCACCCCACTCTCTCGATCCTGGAATTGATTTGTGTATGTATATGTGTGTCAATTGTTGAGGGGGTCGCTGTAACGTAGAATGGATGTTCTGGCTCCAAAAAATCACCACTTAACCTTTGATCAGTCCTTTGATCTACTTGAATTTATTTTGCATCTCCTTTGATCTCCTTAGAGGAATTCCAAATGAGTCCAAAATGGCAGTGGACAGGATAGCACCTCTTGTTGATTCCTTTTTGCAATTCAACAGAAAGAGTTCAATTGTGACACTGAAGAATGTTTTGAGGAACCTACTACTACAACTACGACTACGACGACTACTACTACGACGACTACTACTACTACTGCTACTGCTACTGCTACGACTACTACTACTACTACTACTCCTCCTCCTCCTACTTCCACTACCACTACCAGGCCAGAAATCTCTAGCTTGGTTTTGGTGGGGCACATGCTATTGTTATTGGGCCTCCCTCAATCGTTTGCTAGAAGGGAGTTGGGAAATCAACATTTGACATTCCGTGTCACAAGCGAAGAAACAGTGTGCCTGTGCTAAAGCTAGAACCACCCTCGGGGTGACCTGATTTTGATAGGAGCTAGGCGCTCAGAGCCATGTTTCAAGCATTGAGTTGAGCACCGGTAGTGAAATATGAGTGAAAACAAACTCAGGTTCTGCTTATGTGTCCTTTTGGACTAGCCCTTTGGCTGTTTGGCAAAAGTAGCGCCAATCCATGACATCAGACTAGGAAACAGATTCTCCAGGTTCACACCACAACGCCTGGCCACAAAGCTAAGTGTTTTGTTCAGGGATGGAGGTGTTGGTTGCAATCTCAATTCATGTTGAGCGCTTGAGCTGCAACTAGTGCTTTACACTACATCCGCTGCATGCAAACAACATCAAAATGAGGCATCAGCTTGACATGGTGCTGAAGCTGTTGAGGCCAGCTTCATGGGACGATTGCCAAGGTGCAAGCGCTGTTTCTCGATTTTGCTGATGTTCTGGGTCACGTTGTGCTGACTGACTGTTGGCTGCTTGACTGTTGATTGCCTTGTTTTCCTAGCCAGGCACTTGCTGCCTTGCTTTGTTGCTTGCTGCAGGCTTTTGTGGTTTTACACCTTCCACATAAAGGAGCAGCTGATGGAAGACCTCAGCGGCGGTCCTCGAGAGGGCTGCGCCAAGAGAGAGAGCGGCGGTTCTGGAGAGGGCGGTCCTTGAGAGGGTGGGAGTCCATCAGGCATAGAACAAACAGCCATAGAAGACATGCAACAGCGGGAGGCACAATCGTTGTGAGGACTGAGAGACTATCGTTGTGAGGAAGGCAGTTGAACGTAAAGGTATAACACGCCCAGTATGTTCCATTCATTCCCCGAGCCAAATAGTTTCTCAGTCAACTGCCTTCCTCACACGTTTACATTGTCGCGCTCAATATTTCCGCACCACATTCCTGAGCAGCGCTTGCTGTGGAAGTGGAAGTGGCAACTGGAGGAACTATCATCCATCATTCCGTTAAAAAGCAGAACCTGAAGCGGAACCGTTCTGAATTCCCTTCCTTGTAGTTCCTGAGAAGGTTGAACACTTTCAGAGTGCATCAAATGCTGGCCACTGTGCAAATAATGTCGGATCAACCAGAACAGTCAGGCGCCAAAGGCTTTCGGAATTGAATAGCCTAGCAAACTGGCAAGAGTGTGAAACACAGTTGCTCATCAGCTACTCTGGATGAAATGCCTGACAGCAACACCCAGAACAGCGAGTGACCCAACATATATGCGCGTGACAGATACACTTAAAACGTTTCTGCGGCCTTTGGCAAAGAGAATCAAATCAACCAAGTGCTGGAACTCAAGCGCTCCTGCCTTCCTGAGATCCTGAAAAGCGTCGGAGGGCCAGCCCACACAATGATTTTCCGCACCATTTCACTCAAAAGGATAAGTACAGCTCAATAAGAAACATAAAGACACAAACTGTCAGACCCCACACTTGCCCAGAGCTGACCAGAGCAAGAGTGGAAGCCACGAGCTTTGCTTGAAGCGCCAGCGAATTGGTTGCGAACAAGATGTTCTCACCCCAAATCCTGGACGCTGCTCCATCAAAGGTTGCATTTACGCGCGTTGATTCATCACCTCGTCCTTCCTGCCCAGGCCGCGGAACGACGCAAACACAAGAGGTCGTCCTTTGTTGAGGACACATACATTCTCACTGCGTGACTGGCCTCTTAAGAGGATCACCATCATGACACACATGCGTTGAAAACAAGCTCTGCAGAACCCAAACTACTACAGTACTAGACTAGACTCTCCTCGCAAAAGCTTGGGTTAAGCGGGAAGCCGATAGGGAACCAGACCAACACCAAAGACAATCATCTTGAAATGGGGCGAACTTTGTGTTTGCTGGAAGTTGCTGGTAGTTACTTGTTGCCCTAAATTGAGCTATCCTCTGAACCCTTTAGAAGTCATGAGAACAAAAGCTGTGCGCACGCAATGAGCACGCCTTGAACTCAAACAATAAACCCCGCTGAACCAGACAGTGGGACACTTGTCCTTTAAGGTGGGCTTGCAACAAGGCCCGCGAAACCTGCTGAGCCAGACCTAAGTCAGAACAAATGCCAGACTTCTATGCGCCAACTGCCAACCCTACTTTAAGTTGGTCTAACCTGCCCAGGATTCTGCTGAACAAAAACGGAGGCCATCGCGACTGCGTCAAAAACAGCGTCTCAACAGGGGACCTTTAACAAGGATGCTCACAGCACTAATGATTTGCAATCGCTCAATGACACACACGCTTTTGGGGTAGACATCTGACGGTTTAAATAAAAGCTAGAATATAGTTGGCGTGGGCCGTGAAACGCAAAAGCATGAGATCTCGGTCTCCCTGCTTGCACTACAACCTGACCATCCTAACGAAGGGAGGCTAACTCAGTCCAAAGGCTGAATCAGAATTCAGAAAGCGCTTTCCAACCTGCAGTGTGTGCTTAGATGCTGCGCCACAAGCACAAACTTAACAGCTGCGCAGGCATGCAAACACCAGATCGAAGCAGGATCAGAATAAGATCTTGCCTTACAGATCAAGGATCTGTCACAACCGTTGGGCCTCACATAAATTGAAGTGAGGTCCTACGTTCTTACGCGCACCCAGCAGGCCAACTCAGCCAGACCAACAGGCGAAGCTTTCAACATCTAAAGGCCTAGCTTCATCTCGCACACAGCCCTGGGCTGGCCCATGGGCTGCTGAGGCCTTGAGGCTCGAGCGCGGTGCATCCATGGCAGTGCCCACCCAAAACAGCGCTTTTGCAAGAAGAGGGGAACTGTTAGCAACGCCAGCCTACAATCGCAACTGATGCTGGCCTTCATGTTCCTGCAGCAAATGGTGGGCAGTCCCACCTAGGCCAAACAGTGACAGCAACACAGTCCAAAAACAAAAAGCTGTTCAGATCGCAGTCAGGCCAAGGTAGTTTGCAGTTATCAACATGTTCAGACATACAGCAGTCAGTCAAGAGCAGAACTGAGACTCAGGTTGTTAGTGTTGCTGAGCATCAGCCTCAGTAGCAGCATTTTGCTCATGGACCGCCGCTCTTTCGTCGGCCAGGACCAAGCATTGCTGTGGCTTGCAACGTTGGAGAATGCACAGGCCAAGGCATGTTTGTGTTGTTTGGGTTTGTGTGTGATGTATATTGCAAGTAGGCCCCACCTCACTCGACAATGCGAGCTTCTGTCATGTCATCTCGCCAACGATATCATAGACCAAGACGATGCGTTTGCGCGAGTGCTCGATGAGAGGAGATCTGGTGTGTTTTTGGTATGTGGTTTGTATGGGTTTGTGAATACCTCCAACCTTAGCAGTGAGGAACTTACGGGAGACCCATGAGCTTCTGGTCCATGGGCATTGAAGGCCTGAGTGGCCTGAGGTCATACTAGGAAGCTTGCTTTCACTTGACTTTCCACATCCCATAGGCATGCTTGGACGAAATTGGTCGCGAGAGTCAAAAAAAGCTGGGTTGACTCCTTGGTTCTATCACTTGACTTGCTGTTGCGCTGTTGTTTTTTCTTCTTGTGGCCCAGGCCAGCGTTTGTACTTCTCCACTGAGCCCATACTTACTTTTGCCCATGTCTCTGCCTTCAGAAGCTGGAGTTGGAATAACAGCGCATGACTGGGAAACTGCTGAGCACACTGCTGAATCGAACCAGCCGGCGCATAGAAAGCAGCGGGTCCCTACGCCCCCCAGCGATGTCATCAAATGGGTGTGGGAAAGGTCGGGCTCAACTTTCTCAGGGAAGAGTCTGCATGAGGCAACAAAGAATAAAGCTGCACTGTTTTGCCCCTGGCACTGTACACCCACCCCTCTGCCACTTCAGCTTGGTCCTGACATAGAACGCACAAGGGATAAACCCTGCGCGCCCTCACCCCCCCAGAGCCAAATGTGCTCAGGGTCTCTGGATATGTAGCCAATGTCCAAGGCTGTCCAAGGTGTGCTACGTCAGGAATGGCCCTGAGATCACACGTATTGCTTCACGCCAAGCAGCCCAAACTTGCCATATTCACAAGATTGGCGCACGATCTGTGCTCAACAATCCCTTCTAAGACCATTGTGGATTTTCCCACAGCTGTGGTCTTGAACAAAAGGTAGTCTTGCCCATTTGCAGTCACCCCCAGTGGGATTGCACCAACCGGTAAGCTGGTCTTCGAAATCTGGCAATTGGCTTAGTGGAGAACTTCCACCAGGCAGGGGGTGGCAGTGACCGCTTCGGGAAGATGAACTTCGAATCTTGAAAATTTCGAAGCATGAGTTTCAAGCCTCCCTTGAGCAGGCATGGGCCCACCTTGGTTTTGGATTTGGAAGGTGGAGCCGCTGGCTAAGAAAGCAAGGGCCTGCCTAACCCAGACCCTCCGAGGCAGAGAGTTGGACTTGGTCATACGCTTGTCTCACAGGTTAACCCATGGGCCATGCGCGTCTCAGTCTTGTCTTTTGGCTTTCTTGGTTCAAAGACCATGAAAACGCCTGCGAGAAGGGAGTTGAAGCAAGATGTGAAAAAGAAAGAGGTGAAAAAGAAGGAAGGGAAAAAGAAGGATGCGCTTCAGGTGGCAGACCGGGCAGCTGAGAAAGTGGCACCTCAGGAGGCAGCACCTCCAGAAGATCAGGAAGCGGCATGTCAGGAGGCAGCACCTCCAGATGCAGGGCTCTTGTGGAGGCACCTGCGCAAAAAAGGTTCCCTTCAGAGAAGAGCAAGGCTGGCGTGTATGTCAAGCGGCCCAAAGAACTCTTGTCAACACTACAAACTAGTCTTGTTGCAGAGCTCGGCAAGGTGAAGGCTTCAGAACTTGTGGGCCCTCTGGACAGCCAGGGGTTCATGGCTCCCTATCCCAGTTGACAGACTGCAAGGTGGAGACCTCAGAATAAACACAGGCAGCCTGGCCGAATCTACTAGAAGAAGCTCCCATGTTCAAAAGAAGAGTGGCAGGCTGAGCAGGCAGCTCAGGCAGAGGATGACGAGCAGGAGGAGGATGACCGCATGGAGGCCTTGAGCCAAGGATATTGAAAAGAAAAAGCTTAAAATACGAAAATTTGTTTAAACAATATTGAAGTTTAAGATATATTTCTTTAAAAAAGTATATTTGGTTGTTTATAAGTAGATCTCATAGAGAGTATATTTCTATATCTTAAGGATTTGGAGGGTCTTTGGGGTTGGAGGGGGTTGGGGTTAGGGGGTCTTGGGGTTTAAGGGTTTTAGGGTTGAAGGGCCTTAGGGTTTACGGGATTGGAGGAATTAAGGGATTTAGGGTGTGAGGGGACCTTGAGATTCTTATTAAAATAAAGTTTGCTTGAACAAGGAAAAAAAGGCAAACAATTTGGTTTTGGAAATGTGAAAAAGTATTTATGTTTATGGGCGCGTGAAAATTTCAATTTATGTTACATATCAATTAGTGATCAATTGAACAAAACATGTTTGATGAACATGTTTGTGATTTGATATGTGAAGAATCGAATCTATTTTTAAAGACTTGTGAAATGTTTGATTAGATTTTTAATAACAATATATTTTTCAACATTTATATTAAGATTTGTTTTAAACTTAATCATTTTAAGTATTTCTGTATTTTGCGCAAGAAGATATTTTCTAATTAAAAACCAAATAAGTATCAAAAATTATATAGATATATTCTATTTTTGATTTAAAAATTTGAAAACCACAGAAATATGTTCCTTGAGGAAAATAGATTATCAAACGGAAAGGAAAAGGAAAGGAAAACCTATATAGATATATGGTTTTAGACTTTAATTTCGACTGGATCACAAAAGTTGTTCAAGTCTAAATATTCTTATCGTTTTTAAGAAGAATAGATTTTAAATATTAACACAAAAATATCACAATTTGTATAATCTTGTTTCATTTTGAAAACTAAAACTTTCTGAAATGTAAAATATTGTTAACTGAAGAAAGCAATTCGTAAGGAAATCAAGTGTGATTTGATATGCGAAAAGATATTTATATCACTGGTATGTGAAAATTCTTGAACATTTTTATATAATGATTTTATATATATATAATCAGTTTTACAAAATCTGTATCAAAAATACACGGTTAAAGATAAAGTATTCACTTGAACCATTTAAGGAACACCATTTATAGTTTATATGTGCCAAAAGATATGCAAAAATGGAACTGATTTTGTTAGTTTAGTTTTCTGCTTGATATTTATGTTAAAACAGTTTATACGTTTATATAAAAAATGGTGCTCAATTGCAAAAATCAGAAAATAAATACATGATGATATGTAAAATAAACTCTATGTTAATGATTTTTGACTTACCTTAAAGCTATATATATATTCAAATGACAGAAATAGTAAAGACAATGACAGAAATAGTAAAGACAATGATATAATCTTTTCTTCTGTTTTTTGGGTGTGCAAAACAATTGAACAATCATTGTAATTTAATGGTGTTTTGAAACTAGTTCTATATTTTTTCGAATATAGAACATTATTCACTTGAAGCAAAGAATGTTGAGGAACCATATTTGTGATTTGATATGGAAAAGATTTGAATAGATTTTTACAATTTAATGACTTGCTTGAAATATCAATACTATATCTCTATTTTCAAATAAAAAATGCTTATCAACTGAAACATGCGATTTCTCCGGAAAATATTGTGATTTGATATATGAAGAAATTGTGAGAAGACTTGAAAGTCCCTTGCAACTGTCTTTGCCACATCTTTCAGGCATACTATGACAACCGCTCGAGTGGTTGTGCTTTTCAGCAGACTGTTGAGGAACCGCCTTGTCTGGATGACGAGGAAGTTCTAGACTCGTTATTTGAGTTGCTTTGGTTCCTGGATCTTGCCAATTTCAGTTCAAGACGTCTCCATATAAGCTTTGGAAAAAGGTGTGTGGCTGTGTGTAGGGACTGGTTAGCCTAGACGCTTAGACTGGTGCATTTTTCTGAATGTGCATGTAGCAAGAACGCGCTTTTGCCAAACGTCCAAAGGGCCAAACCAAAAGGCCGCATAAGCGGATGTTGAGAAACTGCACTCAAATAGAATTTCACAGGGAGAAAAGGCAGAAAGTGTTTATAGCAACAGTTGCTTCAGACTCCGCCCTGCCCTGCTACGCACCTATGTAGAACAGTACAAGGTGGCGATGTTTTTGCATGTTTTTGCATACTGAGGCCAGCCGTGCATTGAATCTTAACTTTAGAGGGTGCCTTTCGAACCAGGAAGCAAGCTCTGCAAGAATCAGTTTCAAAGGCAACAACGACCATGTGTTTTCTCATGTTTGGGAATGCACTCGCATTCCTTCCTGTAATGTGATTGTGTTGAGCACACATACAAACATGTTGTGTGTGTATGTTTTTTAACGTGAACATTTTATCCGGGTTAAGTGGTTAAGTTTGTTCTCAGTGGTATGTGCCAAGTGTAATTTTTTGTGTTCTAACTGACTGGATATTTCCCATCGTTCTAAGCCATACACGTGGATTTTTTTTTTCGATTCTGCGTTCGAATTCTAAGTGATGCCACGTGGCTGCATACTGATTGTCTAAAAAGAGAGTTGTATGTTTCGATATGATCACCCCATTGTATGTGTGGCTTAGTGATCGGAACAAGTTCCAGCAAACACAATGCAATCATGTTTTACTGGGTTGCTGGGCGTGCAAATGACAAAGGATCACAACCGTGCAGTGTTCATTTCATGTTCTACTAGCTGTATGTGGGTCGACCCTAACCCTTTCGCTTCTGAAGGAGTACGCGGCACAAATTGCCAATGCAGATCAAATGCTGAGCGTGTTTGCGGAGTTCGTGCCAGAGGAGGACTCTTAGGATACATATTTGACAGTGCCTTTCTGCGCACATTGACAGATCTGCCACTTTGATTCTTCAGAACCCAAGCGTTCCGCCTATTGTAGATGCTTTGATGTCGAGTTTTTGACTGCATTCGTCATGCACGTTTTTTCTTCGTGCGTCCACTGCGTCCACGAACGACATAGACGTCCATGATCCGGTTCTTTTTCCCGGAGTTTATCAAAATTAATGATTTTGGAATGATTTTCGGTCGAATTTACGGACCTTTTGTCAGAAGGTATTGGCAAGGAAGACACTCCAGACGCGAAAAAGTATTGTGTTCGCGCGTTGGTTCCTAGCATTCCTTTTGGTCCGTTGGTTGTTGTAAAAATAACAAATACGAGCTTGTGTCATCGGTCGAAATCAGTGATGCGACATCCAAAACTGAATGTTCTACCATGGTGTCTTAATGACCAGACTGCCACCATTTCAATGTGTCCAAGGAATTGATGTGTAAGAACTTTCTGAACAATTTTGCTGACTCCCTGACAAAGCCCTTTGATATAGAGCAACCCCTCAATGAACCTCAATGAGCCTCAATGGTTCAATTTCTCACGTGTTGATACAATGCATGGGAAAATATTGGAATTGCCGTTTCTTCATAGATGAAAAGTTGTATGGCAGAAGCCATAACGAAGATGGACAGGCTTACGAGAAGCTGCTTTGACCAACGCGACCGCTGAGAGGACCCCATGGTTCTGGTCCCAGAAGGAACAGTTGAGATGTGGGAGCAGCTACTTCAGGACGAGAGGGGCGATGTGGAGCTTGAGGTGGGGTCCATTGGGGACCCTTCTTAGATGCTCATATGATATGAGTCATATGAGATAAAATACCTGAGCAAGATCGAAGCCTTCTCACCTGGAGATTCTGGTTCTGGCCAGGAATCACAGTGGTGAGTACGCCATGCGTGAAAGCGGTGCTTCAGGTCTCCAGTCCTCCACACCTCAAGGGTCAAGATTCAATGGTTGAGAAAGGTCCGAGTGCCAAGAGCAAGTATAACCTCAAAGTCCATGGTCTCTCCAGCAAAATGTTTTCTGACTTACTTCTATAGCTGCTTCTTTTGTACCGTAGCAAAGAAGCGCAGCATTACTTGCACCAATCTAGCACATGATAGCACATGTCATTGTACTATTCCAAGTACTATTACTATTACAATATGTAGTCTATAGATGCCCATCATATGCACAACTGTTTTAGACAAATCGCACAAATCATCCATGTTAAATCTGACATGAGCACTATCTATAAGTCTATAAGCGTGAGGGACTGGCCAGGTGATGGACTGGGGCACCTTGAAAGCACACTCCTCTGTGCTGCGGACTGCCTCTCCGGTGCTGCGCGCCTTGCTCTCGACGCCCATGAAGGAAGGTGCGAGAATGCGGAGACGCGCGGTTAGAATCGAGGCGGTTTGGGTGGTCGGAATCGAGGCCATGGGCTGTTAGAAAAACTTATGGAAGAAAGTCCTTCATATTCCTTCCACTCACATTCCTTCACCCGCTCCTCTGTTTCTCGGCACCCTGCAAGAGCGGAGGAAGGCATGTTCGGTTGCACAGTTGTTGTATGTATGGTTAGATTGTTTAGCTCGCAGAAGGATGTGGTGATCACCCTTCGTTCCACGTGAATCGATCATCCTTCAAGTCCTTCAAGTATGCCTTGTGCGTTGCTAGCTGGGTTGAGGAATCCGTGCTTGCATCATGTAGGAATGTAGGAGTGATAGGGACTGTCAACAGACAAGGCTAGAATCATTGGACAGAAAGAGTCTAGGAGGCCTCAAGGGAGTCCCTTTTGTGTTTATGTTGTTTTTGTTTCTACCTGTTGCATCTGTGCTTTTCTTGGCTTTGTGCTTCTTGGCTATTGGCTTCGGTGGTTTTTGGCTTGGTGTTTAGATTCTCTTTGATCCCTTGGTCGGTTTCCTTTGGTGGTCTCTTAATCCTGGCAGGGCTTTGGCCTGACACTTGGTTTGCGGGTTGTTTTTGGTTCTGGTGGATTTCGTTGGATTTTAATGGCTGTGTCCTTTTTGTTGGCATTTGGTGGCTCTTTTGGGGTTCTTGGCACTCGGTTTGCCCTCGCTGCCGCCCTCCGTCTAGTTTTTTAATTCAAAAGCAATACTAAACCACAGCCGAACTAAAGCCAAACCCGAGCAGTTTAGTTTAGGGTAGGGAGTGCTGAAAAACTGCACGTCCCTCGGGAGCCACCAGAGGACTACACCCGTGACAACCACCCTTTCCAAATTCATAAAAGAGCGAACAACAAAACATCCTAAACAAACACTGCAGCCAGGGTCAAGCACTCAAAGAGGTGTTCTCTCCCTGCAGGCCTGTGTGGCCACATCCATGTGGAGGGTGTCTCATTGGATTCAGCTCAACTCTTCCTACGCCTCATGTGACCCGGAGAAAGATCTGAGATATCCATAGTTTCAGCTGCCACTTCTGTACGATTGGATACAGATGGGAGCGGATGGGAGGTCATACTCGATCTCCAATTTGGACATTCCTGACATCCAAGCCACATGCGCACATCCTGTGCACGTTTGGTGGCCTGGCCGTGGGCAATCCGAGCCGCATCGAGGTACACCGGCAGCCCCTCCATGCGGCCATCCATGGGAGTGCTATTGGGGGCCTTGGATTTGGCGCATCGCTGGCAAGTGCCACACATCGTGGTCATGGCAGAGAACTTGCTAGTGGAAATGGTGCCCAGAATGACATTGCTGTAGAGGGTTGGTTGGTGCATGCCTTTCGAGCTTGTCAGATTTGATTACAATCTGTGCTTCTCCGAAACTCGGGAACGGAGGGGAACCAGCTCTACATGAATGCACCAAGCCACCAAGTCATCATTTTACTGGCCCGGTGGCAGTTTCTGGGTTCCTAGGTCACCAAGGAGACCTTGGGAGAGTTGTGTGACTTCGCGCTCTTGAAAGCATTGCCGAAGCTCATGAGGGCCTGCCGCAGCTATGCCCTCATGCTGCTCAGTTTTGTCTCATGTTGTTCGTTGCTGGGGTCTTTTAATCCAAGGCTTGGAATGTTCATCTTTGGGCAAACTATGTGTTGGACTTCAAGTACCAAAGGTCTTTGCTTTTGTGTGCACTCCAGAATAAATATGTAGGCAAGATATTCGCTGCTCACTCCTACAAGGATGATTGCTTACGTGCTGTATGCAATTGCCACTCCAGTTTAAATTAAAGGCGATGAAGGGCATATCTCCAACTCATAGTGCCGCAGGTTCCCATACCCCAAGACATCATGTGTCCAGCATGGTCAAGCTGAGGAATCATCAAGAAGTGGAAGGGGCTGTGAATCAGGAAGACTTTCCGGTGCGAGTGTGGGCGCTCGGTCAGTGGGAATCAGCCACTCCACGTTCGTTTGCAACCGGGGCTTAGACTACGATACGTTCAGATAGATCTGGTGCTGAGAGATTCAGGATCGTACAATGGATTCAAGAACCCCGTCACCATTAGCTGTGTGAAGTTCTGATAGCTAGGCTCCTCATTTCGTCATGAACAGAGTTTTTAGAGTGCTTTGCGGTGCTACTGACTCATTTTGATGCGGTCATTTGTCACCCACCAGTTGCACATCTCAAAGTTTGAAAGCATTGACTCTCACCACTGGGCTACAGAAAGTTGATGATTAAAGAAAGAGCGATATTCCCAAAGCACGCTGAGGCAATGCTCGTAGTTGCTTCGAGCCTTGGTGTCCCATGTCCTTACCTCTTTGGAAACTGCATTGTTGCAGTGTGAGGCTGAAAGTTACCAACCATATCCAACCATGCAAGCTTGGAATCTTTTGATCTAGTACCAAGCGAGGAACCCTTTGTACAAGCTATACCCTCCTTCTGTTCACGTGTCGCCATATGATGCCAAATGTGTATGTATGTGTATATATATATAATAAAGATCTTTTTGCTTATTTATACAACACTCTATATTCATGTTTCTGAATATCTGTGTGAAGAGTCATTTTGACCTCATTTTCTCCCTTGCTGTGGCCAAAGAGCCCCAAGTCTGGAAAATCCAGGCCAAGCGAGAGCTACGACACCTCCTCGGCCATCCTGAGAAGCGCCGGCGCAGCGACCAGTGGTGTCGCTGAGGCAAGACATGGTTTCATCATGGTTCATCACACTAGACTGAAAGCTGGTAGCGTCCTTGCTTCTAGTAGTAAGGCCAGGAGCCCCTAGTAGCGTCCTTGCTCCTAGTAGCGATGCCAGGAGCCCCTAGTAGCGTCCTTGGAGAAGTAAGAGTGAATGTAGTCAATGTGAAATGTCGGAGATTGTGTGCATGTGAAAGAAGAGAACGCCTGTTGTAGACGCTTGCATTCTGATTATGATATCCTATGCAGACAGCACCCTCAAGTACCATCAATAGCTGAATTGATCTCGTTGGAGGCAAAACATCACTGGACTGTGAGAACTTGCCTCCTTCCGCAGAGGGGTCGTTCCGAAGACACTTCGTGCCGGGACCCAGCTGGACGCGGTTCTTCAAGCGCGTCGCTTGGAACTCGGACGTCGCTGGAAGCAGCGTCGCTTCCGGAAGAACTGGAAGCCATGCATGGCGACCATCGCTGTGTCCGCCCAACAAGGGGCCAATGAAGACATGCGGAAAACGGAGGCGCCAGCGGAAGGGTCAAGAAGATCATGAAATTGTACACGGTGAAAATGAGTTCGGGATGCTAGATGTATGAGGATGACATGAAATGAAGGCTGACTTCGCATTCGTACTGCTTGATGCGGAACCTATTTGGCTTTGGGGCGAGGTGCTTCCAAGCTTGAGGGGCCGGCCACATTGGCACTTAAATTGAACTTAGGTTGATCACTGTTGGAATATATTTTTAGAAGCTGCAATGTCCTTGCCCTGTATAAGAAAAACACATATATATATATATATACTGTGTATCTCTCTCTGTCTCTCTCTATATATATATAGAGAGAGAGAGAGCTTGACAAATGGTTTCCCCGTTGAAGCTGTGCAGCTTGAATATTGGGACAGATGGGACAGTGTGCTGGGAGCAATGGCAATGAAGACTTGCAGCTGTTGTGCTACAACTGTGCCTTGTCAGCACAATTTACTGTTTAAGTGGGGGATGATCAATTAGAGATCCTTCGGACACCCTTGTCGTGTCGTTTTTGCTAGAGTAGAGCTGTCACAAGGGCAAGGCATAAGAATACTTGCAAGATTGCTAGAGATGGTGACAAACCAGCCAAACCAGCTTTTCTGGCCATCAGGGGAACTCCTGTTGGCAACTTTTGCTCTGCTCAGCAGCCTTCTTTGAGCATCGAGACCTGAAAAGACGATATTGTTAATAAGCAGTTGCATTTTCCGCTGGTGGGTTATTGCCATTCCTTTGAGTTGCAATCGGACTCAAATGGTTTGATCCAACTGTCAATAAAAGCAGCACCGAAATCGTCTACAGTATACACTGTCTACACGTGAGTATACGTGAGTGGGGATCACCTGGATAGCGACAAGGCTCACCATTGGCCCTTCCAGGTGTGCACGACATGTACTTCCCCATGTATGTGGTGAAGGCACGGGGAGATGTGCAATGCTTCTTGTCAGGATAGGCAGTCGGGCACCAATCCTGGCAAAGCACCCTCTCATTAACATACATAATTCCTCGAATACTGCTGATGACTTCACGTTGAGGGTCCTGAGATCAGTTCGACAATCCTTCCATTGGACAGGGCAGGGAGAACCACCAATGGTCCATCTCCTACACAGAGCACCTAAAGAATGCAAGTCTGATGCTGTTCTATTTACTTGCGTTTCCCAATGATTCCCACCATTTTTGTGACTTCAAGCATTCAACTGCTCCTATCATATGGCCATAAAAGGGCCCCTTCTCGTCCAAAGTCCCACCGGGTGTTCGTTGCACCTTCTCGTGCCGCGGTAGGTGAGCGACTTTGTGCAGATGAGTGGCACGCCGGAGGCTCATGGCGCCTTACTGGCTCGTGGGATTCTGCATACCTGGACGCCAGGCACACATTTTTCGACTGCGGTGGTAGAAAGAACGCAGTAACAAGAACGCTACGTTCGGAGCTCCTGGCCTTACTACTAGGAGCAAGAACGCTACTAGTCTTTTTACGAAGGCCAACAGAAGAGCAGTGCCTCGGCTTTATGCGGAGGCATGATGTTGACATTACCTACTATCGTGGTGGGTTGTGTTGTTCCTGACACTTGCAATATACACAAAGCTAGTGCTCCTGGGTCGATACACGGTTTCTATACCAAAGGTCACTGCTGCAGCATTCACGCGCCTAAGTTCGGACGTGGGGAATGGCTGTGATTTCTGCCGAGTCCTTGAAATGTTCATACAGTAATTCATTAAGCAACTCCAAAGAAAAAGAGAAGGAAGGTGAACATTCTCCTGAGATGTGTGGTTGCCAGATGTTGCCAGGCATGTTTGTGGCCTTTGTATCTCACCAATGGCTGGGATTTGCCCACCCAGATCCCATGGGCTGTCACACGTCCATGCTGCGGGACACCTTGCTGGCGGCGATCGACGGGACCTTGGCGATCGAGCGACCTGAATGCACCGCACCGGCAGAGGTGGAAGACATCTAAACCCAAGAAGGTTTGCCAAGTAGGCCAAGTAGAGAATTCTTCAAAATGACCAAGTAGACTAGAATCAAGAATTCCTCTTCCTCGTCTGGCTTTGGAGTGGTGCCAAGCGAAGATTACGAAAGCCAGCCTTCGTAGAAGGCGCTAGCGGAGTTGTGTTTGGCGAACGAAGTGAGTAGTTAGGGGGTCTGGGGGGGGGCCCGGGAAAGGTACACGTAAACTCGGCACGTGCTGGGGGAGGAGGGTGCGTCGAGGGAAGGTTTTTTGAGGTTGTGTTGGAGGTGATTTTTGAGGGGTGGTGATGCAAGAAATGCAATCTGCATCATTTGCATCATCTGAATGGGAAGGTGTAGTTGGCACCTTGCCAGGTATAGAGACCCAGGGTAGCTATAGTGCAGCTACCAGGTATAGTACTTCAAGTTCCCCTTCCGTCAACCGCTCGATAACCTCTACACACGCACAGCAATCCACAGCTTTGAAGTCTCATTCGTGCTTTGAACTTGTAAAGGTGTGCAAGAGGTATAGCAACACAGTACTTATACGGACCCAGGGTAGCTACAATTCTGTTCCCAGGTATCGCGCGCATGAGGCTTCAAAGCTGTGGTTTTCAAGCTAAATTCAAGGTGGCCTGAGACCAGGGTTTGCTGCCCTAAAACACTCTGTTCAGGCCACCGTGAAAAGCGAGAGCAAAGGAGTTTCCACCTCCTCGCTTCCCAGTCTTCCCAGGGTTCATATAGGGAGCCAGGCCATTTTCAGAATCTTCTGGATTTGAGCTGTTCGAGCTCCTACTGAAGGGTATATGTCACATTCAAGCAGCAGAAGGACAACATGCATCCTCTGCTCTCGCTTCGCAGACCGTCATTTTGAAGGTGGCCTGAACAGAGTGTTTTAGGGCAGCAAACCCTGGTCTCAGGCCACCTTGAATTTAGCTTGAAAAACTGCTTGTTTGAACAAAAGGGTGCATTGTTTTTGTTTTGACATGGTTACCTATGTGTCGGCAGAACAAGACATGAAGCAGATTTGACACGTGGCCGCAAGCGGCTGCGCGAGCTCATTTTCGTCCGACTCCTGCCTCACAGTTGCACAACAACCTTTTCGGCTCGAGACAATGAAAAAGGAAGCTTATAGGATAGCACGATCTCAGAAATCACATGGTGTTAATGCCTGATAAACAAGTGTCCGAGATGCACAATCCGTGAATCTGCAGCACCCATCGCTGAAGGCAGACCACACGACATCAAGTCGCAGCTAGTACAAGCATCGTCACCAGTCACCTCCCGGCCCCCCCTGGTAGAGTGGAAACACAGTCAGATGGCTGTTCTCAGCCCCTTGGCAGAAGAATAGTGGGGAGAGATCCGGAGAGACGCATGCTTGTGATTGGTTCACTTCCAAGGTTTTGGCGCCAGAAGGTACGCCCCAGTCAGGTCAGTCGAAGAGGAAGACTGGGAAGCGAAGAGGTGGAAACAGCTGGGAGGTCTTGAACTTTTAAGTAAACAAAAGGCCACATTCAAGCAGCAGAAGGACCATGTGCATCCTCTGCTCTCGCTTCGCAGACCTTCATTTTTAAGGTGGCCTGAACAGAGTGTTTTAGGGCAGCAAACCCTGGTCTCAGGCCACCTTGAATTTAGCTTGAAAAATTGTCTGTTTTAACAAAAGCCTTGTCACAGAGACACCTCAGGACCCTTGCTTCGCATATCTTCATTTCTGAGGTGGCCTGAACATATAGTTTCGGGCAGCGAGCCTCTGGTCCCAGGCCACTTCGAATTTTGGTGCATTGTTTGGCTTTTGCTTCATCTGAATGTGGATGGGAATTATCTATGTGTGAAGTCGGTCGGGGGTCGGGGGGGTGGCCCGAGAAAGGTATACGTAAACTCTTGGAGGTGATGTTTTAGTGATTTTGGAGCGGGTGGTGATGCAAGAGTGCATTTTTGCTTTTGCACGGTTACCTATGTGTGGGCAGAACAAGACATGAAGCAGATTTGACACGCGGCCGCAAGCGGCTGCGCGAGCTCATTTGATTGCTTCGACGCGCAGTTGTCGAGAAAGGGAAGCGCTGGCTTTCGTTTTGCAGCTTCTCAGGTTGTTTGGAGTTGGAGAAGCGTTTGAATCATGTGATTGGCTGTGGGAGGTGTGATCACTTGATTTCTGTAAGTTGGAGATGACCCAATTTCCAGCAGTGAACTATGAAGAAAAGGTGCTTCAAAGGGGCAACAAAAGATGCATACCATGAATACAAAGCCCGAGAAGGCTACCAGGCCGATTTGGTTTTTGTTGGGGGGATGTCATTCACATTCATTCATTCCCTCTTGCCACTACCCTCGCTTTCATTTGACGCGGTTTTCTCGACACCAGGTCCGACATCGTGACGCAGAACCGCGGCGGAGCCACGCGCAGCTTCTCCGCCGAGACGCGGCAGCAACTGGCCGAGGGGTACCTCTTTTTAGATTGGCTCCTCGGCGGAAGAAGCGGCGGCGCAACGGTGCGTGGTCGCTGCGACCCTCTTGTGTCGCCAGCCTAAGGGATGGATAGAACGTGCATGGTGAAAATGGATTGGTGCAGATGACTAGGACATACTAGGACAGTATGCTACAGGGGGATAGCCACACTAGAGAAACATGTGTGAATCATAACCACGTTGAATTGAAGATAAAATCAAGCACCCGAGAGAAATGACAACAAAATGATGACCTATGGGATCCATGACAGATGTTGCTTTGCTTCGCATGTTCTAATTTCCAATTTGACTCACGGCTCAGGTTCGCGATCCCTCAGATCACAGCCCGGATGCCAGGAGTCGAAGCAAAATGGGACGCAACAACCATGAACCATGTCAACTTGTTGAGCGTGCCATGAACTTGTTGCCCGGGAAAAGATTAGTTTATATGATTGGGGAAGCCAAAGGGTCCAGGTTTCATCCAGGGTTTTGATGCATGTCACGTGGAGCTTTGAAGGTACATGAAGGTACCCGGATGTCGTGTTGAAGACAGGCACCCTTGCTTTTGAACATGACTGGGGTTTAGCGTTCCAATCTGTTGCGTCCCTCTGGGCGTTGCACCAGGCGTGAACGAGGAGGTTTGCAAGTCGGAGGCGGCCAAAGCGGTGCAAAGCATCCCCGCCTACGTGGAGGCGGCGGATTTATTCATCGCGCTGGTTCCTGAGGTGAAGCACCAGGAGCGGAAGGTCCGAGTCAGGTTTGGCGGCACATGGTGGGGTGAAAAGGAGGCAACGAGAAATACAAAGAAGTGTTCTTTGGAAGGGTATAGTCATAGTCATATAGTCAGTAGGGCAACTGCATAAGCTTCCAAATTGGTCATGTTGAGACCATGTCATTTGCATAATCCGCCGTGTCCCAGAAGGACATTTAGACCCACAACTTGTGGAATCATTGGAAGATAGTGAGGCCCCTTTGGTCTCTTTATAGAAATCCTTGAAGTGCCTCATGTCCAGGGCCCCTCCAGTCCAGGGCTGTCCAGTTTCAGGACCGAGGGGCATACTGCAACTACACGAGCTGGCTTTCACGTGGCTGGTGTCGTGCAGAGCTTTGGTGCCGACTCCTCTCACACAAACCAGACACTGGGGTGATCCTCCTGCACAGCACCAAGGATGTACCTTGGAATCAACGGCTCAACTCCCCCCCAAATCTTTCGGCATTCGGCCCATGTTGTTTGACTTTGGCTGGACAGTTCGGCAGATCAAGGGCAATGAGAGATCTATCGCTTTTTGCCGTAGAACCAATGTTGTTGCATTGTTGTTGCCGTCAACCAGCGTGGTTTGGAGACACACCTTTGTCATTCCTCTTCCAAGGACTTCCATGTCCGTTGTCCCGAGTTCTGTGATCGACCAGCTTTTGACCTTTCCTGTGTGTGTGACCCGAATGCCAGTTCCACAGGGAAGGCTCGTGGAATCCTGATGAATCCCGTACCCAGAAAATTGACCTTTTCCCCAGTCAGAATGTGCATCGCCCTCAGGTGAGGTATATGTTTCCCTTGGATTGGCAATTGAACACCATTGTGGATGGCGAGTTCACGGTGGAAGAAGATCGTGACGTGGTCGCCAAGCTCGGAGAAGTGGCGGTGGACGAGAAGATCCGAAGTCTCAGAGACTTGCATGTGGTTGGAGCATGTTGGAACAAGCAAAGGGTGTGCCTGGTGTCAAAGCTGGGTGTAGCCGGGATGTAGGAGAGTCTACAGATCGTTTCAGTGGGGTCGAGCTTTCAGCATGTGCCTGGCAGAATCAATTTGATGATATTTGATGGTATTTGTGTGAAAGATAGTCCTTCCAGTGACTTAGTCTTTTTGTAAATGGAAATGTTTTCACAAAAAAGAACAAGGCTTTGCTGTCCAGTCGGTGTTTAAAAACACGCCGCTTCGCCGTCCGTCTACTGCTCGTCGCTCGACCGAGGAGCAGAGCACTCGCAATGCTACTACCGTTGGTTTGTGGCTTCTCGACCCAGCCTCTTGACTCGATTTCTTCGAACGGTCTCGACCAAAGGAAAGACAGTACATGGATGTACATGGAAAGGGTGAAAGGTGTTTGCCAAAAGGCTGAACGGAAGGGTTCTGTGATCGGATTGATTTCCAGAACTTGAAGCTGTATCCGAGAGAATCTGCCTTTGGGCCTTTGGTACCGTTTTGCTCAATTCTTTCGCCGCGTCAACAAGTCCTGGGATGCCTTCGGTCATTGAATTAGTCTTTGATTTGGTTGAAGCGGCCAAGGACTTCTCGGCCAAGACCGTGGAGTTTCCGACAAGGAAAGCTTTTTGTCACTTGGACTCACCAAGTGAGGAGACACTTCAATCACAAGTCCAGTGTTATTTCCAAGGTATTCAGATCAATTCAAACAGCACCTTTTGGAACCACTATGAAACACTGCAATGATTCGTTGCCGGCGGCACCAGCAATACTGCTTATAGCCACAAGAGCACACGACCTGGAAGTGATTCTATTAATTTATTGACGGGTAAGAGTTGTGGGCTCATGGGGAGAATTGACTAATCACAGGTTTCCAGAAGTCTTCAAAGGGAAGTGGACTGTAGCACCTTGAGAAGGTCTCTCCTCCTGCCAGCAAACAAACAATGGACGCACAGTTTGTGGAGTTTTCTTTTTTTCCGAAGATGTGTTGAGTTTGTGTTTGTGTGTGGAACTCAACATCAACACGTGTTTCGTCCGCGTCGCAACACGCGGCAGAGAGCCAGCGCGCCAAGGGAGAAGTTCCAGTTCCGTAGTTGGGAAGCAGCCATCTTCGGCGATGAGAGTAACATGACAGGCT